TATATCAGGCTCATTATCTATCTATCTATCTATCTATCTATATATATATATATATATATATATATATATATATATATTTACATTTTTGTTTTAACGTTGTTATTTATAGATACAAGTATTTAAGCAAATGCTCTTTTATGATAAACAGTATTAAATAACATTTACCGGCCTGAATGTCCGAGAAATTTTCATAAAAATATTCGTTCTTTGACAATTTTCGAACCTGCATCCTATACGGAACCGTCAAATCCTGTCAAAGACCGAATATTTTTCTGAAAATTAATACTGTTTACCAGAGTATTTGCTTAAATACTTGTATCTATAAATAACAACGTTAAACATAAAAATGTCTTTAATAAATAAATTGGGACCTTGTCCATTTCTTAACACACACACACACACACACACATATATATATATATATATATATATATATATATATATATATATATATATATATATATATATATATATATATATATATATATATATGTCTCATTATCTAGCTAGCTAGCTATCTTCATAATTATTTATGAGCTTGTTTTAATCCATTTCATTTAAATATTTCCCATGAAGCATACATCTTATTCTCATTTCCATCAATCTGTATTTATTTTTACAATTATCTTAAATTTCACAGCAAATCTTTTACCTCACTGAAATGCTGATCGGAAAGTGATGTCGTACGCATTGTGATCGACAGTCGGATTTAGGTAATTTATAAAAATACTATTCTGTGCACTTGTATATTTCACTCTTTTACAATGTTCCCATATACAGTGTAACCCGGATATAAGAGACCCGGATATAAGAGAAACCCGGATATAAGAGAGATTTTCTCTGGTCCCAAATTAGAGCCTGTGTTAATGTATATAAAATAGACCAAACCTAGATATAAGAGAAACCCGGATATAAGAGACTTCTTCTCCGGTCCCGACAATTCTCTTATACCCGGGTTACACTGTATATATTTTGCGCTTGCTGCCTGTATATATCTAAACAAAACTAGAAAGCGAATAACTTCTGCTAACATAACGGTAGAAATGTGAGTCAGGAAAATGCAAAAAGATGGGGATAAAGGACAAACAGAAAGAAGGTGGCAAATATGAAAGTAAAAGAGAAGAAGAAGAAGAAATAATTTGTTTTAACATGTGGATTTTGTCTAGTGTCGTTTGGGACCCGTTTTCGCAAACCGACATTTCACTAGGGAAAAACCGTGAAAAATAACATCTTTTTCTCAACAGTATTGTTGAATTATTTAGACAGACTGAAACCTTTATTGTAGGCATTAACTAAGCATAGTTTTGTCTGGCAAAAACGCAACAAGCATGGCGTAGGCATGAGAATCAAATTCCAGCTGATTTATTTTCTGCGAAACTAGGTGTTAACCATTGCCCGACGACAAAGCAGGCCTCAAACTGACATTGCTTGCTTTGGCATACTCTCTTCAGCGGAGGATACTGAGTAAGGATCGAACTCATTACAACGTCAAAACCAGATTATTAGCCATTGTGCGAAGAAAAGGAGTGTATCGAGTGTAGCTGTTAAAACAGCTCAAATGAAACAACACTGGATATATATATATATATATATATATATATATATATATATATATATATATATATATATATATATATATATATATATATAGAAAGAACAGTAAGATATATAATCCGGTGTTCTTATAGATATTTTTATTTTTACAAAATAGTACTCAATGTAAATTTACAAAGCATTAATATTATAAATTAATTGATTTAAAATGTTTTTTCGCTACACAGTTCTAACCATGTTTCAAAAATGGAAGCTAAAAGCTACGAATTTAATTTTGTCATTAAATTAAAGACATTAGTTCCATTTCATCCTCAAGCAATTTTTGGAGTAACTTTTAAAATTACTGGGTTTTAAAGACACAGCAAAAATCATAATTCACGTTTCCAAAGTTTCAGATAAATCTACTTCCATTAGACAGGTGTGTGAATGATGATTTTTGCTGTGTCTTTAAAACCAAGACAAAAAGTTACTCAGTACCTGAAATGGAACTATTTAATGACAAAATTAAATTGTAGCTTTTAGCAATTTTTATAACATGGTTAGTGTGTACCGAAAAACATATTTTAAATAAATTAATTTATAATATATATATATATATGTGTATATATATATATATATACACATCAGTGTGTATATATATATATATATATATATATATATATATATATACACATCAGTGTATATATATATATATATACACATCAATATATATATATATACACACGCATCAGTATATATATGTACACACATCAGTATATATATATATATACACACATATATATATATATATATATATATATATATATATACACACATCAGTATATATATATATATATACACACATCAGTATATATATATATATATATATATATATATATATATATATATATATATATACATACATCAGTATATATATACATACATCAGTATATATATATATATATATATATACTGATGTTGCTTTTTTTTTACCAGGATATCAACACCTCTATAGGGTATTTAATACCGAAATCTAAATATTTTTTATACGGAATTCTATTTTATTTTTGGAGATTAAGATGGTTTAGTGATACAAATCTTATTAATTTACCCATAGCTCGGAGTCTTTGCGCGTAAGTGAATATGACGAACCCAAGTGGAATTTGAACTCGCCTCTCCGATTAACAATTCCGAGTCATTATCCATTAAACCAACCGCACATCACAGCTTATAGTACCAGGTGTTCAAAACCAGTTACGTATCTAGGTACTGACCAAGCTCGACATTGCTTAACTTCGGTAATTGTACTGGAAATGGTATTATGATGTGACCGTAAACCTGTACAATTTTGTGAAATTGGTCATCTGACATGAATTTTGATGTAAAATTTGAATTCTTATTAAGGATAATGATTATGTTGAAAACGAAGTATGTGCTATAATTCTTTTAATTCAAAGCTGTAGGTGGTCCTCCACAGCTTCTTTTTTTAATATCTGTGAAAGGCTTCTCAGGAGGCATAATGGTTTTGGATTATTTATAGTACTTCTTTTCGACCTCTTAAAAGAGAGCCTAGACTGATTTGCTTTTTGACCCATCAGGGAAAGCGTTATATTCGCGCCCTTTTAATTAGTGTGGCAGTTAACGCAGCTGACGAAGCGAGATTTTAGCAGTGCACTGCTGAAAAACGATCGTTAGCAACGGAGATTGAGAAGAAACTACAAGAAGACAGAATGCATGGTCATCAGTGAGAGGCTGAGCCCAAAATGCGATTTGTTGGTTGGGAACACTAGATACAAGCAGACTCGGAAGTTTAAGTATCTGGGAAGCGTCTTGACAGAGGACGGTAAGTGCGACACTGAGATCCGTAGGCGTATTGGGATGGCCAAGGGCACATTCCAAAAGATAGACAGATTATTGAGAGACAGCGGGATTTATTTGGTAAGAAAGAAAAGAATACTGAACTGTCACGTGACATCTGTCCTTCTTTACGGCAGCGAATGCTGGACAATTTCCTCAAAGATGAAGAAGAGACTCGAGACGCCGGATATGTGGTTCTACAGAAGGATGCTAAGGATATCATGGATCGAGCGAGTGAGCAACGATGAGATCTTAGAGAGGTTGCAAACAGGGAGGAGGCTTATACTTAACATAAGGAAGGGTCAACTAAAGTTTCTGGGACGCATAATGAGGAAGGATAGCCTGGAGAATCTGATACTCACGAGTCGAATAGAGGGAAAGAGAGACAAGGGATGCAACGCGTGACATACGTGGCGGGCTGAAAGGACACGGCACAAAGAAAGAAAAGATATTTAATATCAGGGAGAGGCAGCTAAAGTTTCTGGGACATATAATGATAAAGGAGGACTTGGAGAATCTGATACTCACGGGTCGAATAGAGGGAAAGAGAGACAAGGGATGCAACGCGTGACATACGTGGCGGGCTGAAAGGACACGGCACAAAGAAAGAAAAGATATTTAATATCAGGGAGAGGCAGCTAAAGTTTCTGGGACATATAATGATAAAGGAGGACTTGGAGAATCTGATACTCACAGGTCGAATAGAGGGAAAGAGAGACGAGGGAAAACAACGCGTGACATACCTGGTGGGCTTAAGCAAGTAGATGATAGAACGTGGTCCGGGGAAGGAAGCAGAGGGAAGGAATTTGATGAGATAGAGGGAGGTGAAAGGTACATAAAAAGAAGTGGTCGGTGGAGTTTTCACGATAGAAAGCAACAAAAATAAGATGAAATAAATATGTAGGCATCCGTTCATATCGCAAGACCGATTTCATTCATCAGCTTCGTCTTGTGACCATATCTGCTGCGCATGAAGAGTTCACATGCCGGCAGCTGATACTGTTTTCTTAACCGATATGGTCGGTGGAGTTTTCACGATAGAAAGCAACAAAAATAAGATGAAATAAATATGTAGGCATCCGTTCATATCGCAAGATAAAACTAGCGCTCTGTTGGTTCAAAATTCTGCCCTCTGGCGGTGAGAGTCGAGCGACCAATCCAGGCTGTAAATCTAGTCGATGGTATACGGAAGCGGTCCACTACCTAGACTACATAAACCCCGTCTCGGCCGTGCCGACAAGATAAAGGGTATTACATTTGGAGCCAGCTTAGCTGCAGGAGTTGACGGAAAGTCGTCAGTGTTGACAGCCCGCCGCCTTCGGGACTCCATTCCGAGTTTTCTGTCTATATTTATTTTCATTATCTTTTTCTTGTTTTGGATATGACCACAAGGCAGCGAAGGTTTAAAATCAGGGTCTTCTTTCACCGAATTTGACCGTCTTACCAGGCTGTCGAGCTGGTTATGTAGCATCAGTTGCCCGCATTCGCACATTCCCTGGCTTGAAGTTGAATTTATTAAAGGCTACTTGAGACACGGAAGCATTTTATAGTAAAAAAACTTGTCCTCACTATCACCCTCGGCTATGACAACCATTGTACGTATATAGACACTATAGATATTACATGTTATATAAAGTCCCTAAAATTAACGGTTTTTTTTAATATTATATAATACGTTAGGTAAACAAAAACACTAGAAAGCAAGACAAATTACGAAATACATAAATAAGCATTCACAAATATAGAAAATTTGTTAATTTTGTCATGGCGTTTAGAACTCAGAGATGACGCTTTTTTTTTTTCGAATCTCGTAGATTTAACGAATTTTATGTAACTGAAGGGAAAAACTTAAAAGATTACTTAAAAGTAATAGTGTAATTCAATATAATTCGCAATTATATATATATATATATATATATATATATATATATATATATATATATATATATATATATATATATATATATCATGGTTATTATGTTTATTTGATGATATATATGTATTGTTAATAATAAAACCTGAGGGGGTGTTGTTCATTGAGTTCGTGGCAAATATTTGCACTAACTCCTTGTTATCAGAACTTCCAATAAGTGTGGCTGGTTCTGCACAAGCCTTCACCATTCTAAACAAATCTTTCGTGTGTATAGTCTGCAGTTCAGTTCTGTGTTCCTTCTTTGCTATTCCACCTGAGCAACACGTCCACTGGCAAGAGAGTTAAGCAGACTGAGACAGGTACAGGATTCAAAAACTGAACTGAAAGACACTCATACGCCGAAAACGACGGCAGAGTCCATCATGTACTGCTTATTCTTTCTTTAAACTTACATCTTTTTCGACAGTTATCAGTTTTTTATTTGTTTTTGTACAACTAACCTGAAGATCGTTTGCCTTATTTTTACGTCTTAGTTATATTTATCAACATTGCTTTTTCTACTCACTTTCATTTTTTATCAATTGATAGTTTAGGGGTTCTTTCTGTCCGAAAATTAGTATAAGTAATTTTACTGATTGTTATTTATAAATAATGACTACATAATCTCCGAGTATGTTAGGGTTTTTTTTTGTCTTTTTTGCTTTCCATCAGTGACTCATTGCACCTTCTTCTAACGTTTTCTGCTGACATGATAATATTGAATCAATTGCGAGGTCTGCTGCTTAAAAAGTTGGTTCACTGTGTCGCGTAAAGCCACAAGAATATATTTTACACATTTATAAGCCTACCATTCGTCCAAGTATTGGGGCAACGTATGTTCTGGTGCTTTTGATATGTATTTAGAGATTCTTGATAAAATATATTGAAGAATATGCAATGCTAATCTGGCATCTCAGATTCAGTCACTTTCTCACCACTGTAACGTAGCCTCGATATGACTTTTTCTATACATACTTTAATGGTCATTGTTATGATAAACTTTCCTCTGTGTTACGTAGACTTTATGAATTTGAGCGTATTACTAAATGGCGGGAAAGCGTCAATATTTTACAGTTAAAATGGCTAGATGTAACCGTAATTTCTATGCTAACAGTTTTTTCTATCGCACTTCTCGATTGTGGAATTTACTTCCGGCGTCTTGCTTCGCATTCAAGTTTGAGCTTTAAAAATTTAAATGCAATTCCAATCGTTATATTCTTAATTCCTGTTCTTTTATTGTCCTCTCTACTTCATATTTTCTCATATCCTCTCATACTCAGTAACTCTTTGCATGGGATGAAATGATTAAAAATATTAAAAAAATATAAAAAAAAAAGGTTTAAATCCTGATTTATTTATTCATAGAATTGAATAAAAAGATCTTATTTGCGGTGGCACAAATATTGTTGACAATTTTTGTAATCATGCGGAAGCCATGCCAGAACGTTACTGGAGAAATGGTTGCTCTTGGCTGTGCCCACAGGAGAGAAAGTCTGATATTATGGTGGCCCAAAACTTTCTATAACCCCAGAAAAGACATCCCTGAAGACGTATTCTGGTGCGCGATATTTGCACATAAGACGAACAGTCTTTCATTTTTATCCAGTCTCTAGTTTTCCAAACGAGACAGCGATGGTACATTTTGCACGCGCCTAATGCAATGAAAAATGCATTTTTAATAATTTTAATACAAAATAATACAGAGGAAGCACGGTGGAGTAATGGATAGCGGCTCGGATTGAGGAATTGGAGAGCCGAGTTCGATATTCCAGTCGAATCCATTACTCTTGTGAAAGGTATGAATTCTCTTCTTTTCCCAGTAAAAAGAGCGGGTTGGATGACAACTGGTCTACCGCAGAAAGAAATGGTAACCAACTACTGGAAAAAATCTGTCGTCAGTCATTTATCGAAAGAAACATGATCGCCTAAGCGTGTATCACGCATGGCACATAACGAACTGGCTAAATATAGAAATGCATTGAAAAAGATGTTGTCAGGAATTAGTGCAAGTGTTAAGGATATAATGATAAAAGAGTTATAAGTGAAATTTATTATATAAAAAAAATGCATATCAGACTAATAATGGTTAATGAATAGCAAATGAAAATAAAACGTCTTAGTAATGTATTTTATTCCGTGAAAGAACCATTTCAGACACTGTGTAACCAAATTTTGCTTTTGTTTTCGGTTAGTAAGTGTTATTTTCTAATTGTTTCTGATTAGAGAGCAAAAGAAATGGCTTTTATTCTTTTTAAACTTTGTTTTTGTGTCACAGCACACTGAGTTCTGTATAGGGAAAAACAACGTCAAATGGAAGCCACAGTTGGACCCCCGGAAAGTATTAATCCACCCCCCCACTAGACTTAAAACTGGGGCTTATGAAATAATTTGTCACATCTCAAGATAAGAAGTCTCCAGCCTTCAAGTACCTTCAAGACTTTTCTTCTGTGGCAAAAGTCAAAGCCGGTGTCTTCGTCGGACCACAGATAAAGAAAATCCTACAGTGCAAGGAATTCTTCAATAAGCTCACTAGGATGGAGAAAACAGCGTGGAACAGCTTTGTCGCAGTGGTTCGAGGCTTCCTGGGGAATGACAAGGCTGAATTATGTGGAGCTTGTAAAAAAAACAAAAAAAAAAAAACAATGCCTTTGGCACAAGGCCGAAGGGAGAAGTAGAGAGTAGCTATCCTGCTTCTTGTTAGTTCGATTCAATACCCATCCATTCTAACAATTTACACAAGCACCTTAAGTATTCATCTTTCACCCTGCGGTTCGAACATACTCCAAAATACCACATTTTTATAGGGGACCTAATTATACAATTATGATTATTGACAATATATAAAAGGATGTGGGTAAGCCCATTAAAGCAAATAAAAGGTTCAACTAAATAATTTAAAAGAAATTAAAACTGTGTTCGTAAGGTAAAGTCCACCCCAAGAAAATGAGTATGGCCGCTGTATTCTGCTATCAGACATAATTAAGATGCTCACAAGCCAGTGGCGGCAAAGGGGTAAATAGATTAGGAAGATGTAAAATGCTGGTTCAACCATGATAAAAAAAAAAATCAGGAATAAAAAACATGGGGACGTAGGGAATCTTGAAAAGGACGCTTTCTATCAGTTCTGATCTTCATCTCGAGCTTATACTTAAAGAATCCAATCAGATCTTGATGAGAACACTATTCGTTTCGTAAGATTCCCTCCGTTCGCGCCATCTATACCACTATTTTGGTCACAAGCAGGATGAGAAAACACCAATCGTTTCGCCTCAGACTATAGGGGCGACACATTTTTGCACACATACGCGAGATTAATAGACACAAGATGTTCGGGATCGATACGAGCCGTCAACTCACCGCCCGGGTTCCAAAAACGGGTGCATCAGCAGACAGTGGAAGAAGACATGTGTGGTAGTCTCATGCAACCCACGATCACATTGGTGGCATGTCTGCCAAGTTCGCCTTGAAATTCACGCCATTGAGAGGCAGCGAATTTTGATCCAGTCGCCAGAGAAGCAAAAACTCAAGGTTACTGAGATAATCAGCCGCTGGCGTCCGGGAACAGAAAGCGCGTAACTCATCCGCCAACCAATAGGCAGCCCCTCCACTAATACCCGATACAATCTCTTCCTAAGACGAGAAATGACACGAAACACCTGTCGACACTAGTTAAAGAAAACCTTCTGGCGCCGGGGCTTACGACAGCATTCACCTCTCGGGCCCGAAATGAGAGATAGTAATGGAAGGCAAACCTAACACTACTTGACCACAAAAGAAAAGCCTAAATTAACAAACTTTTCTGTGAAATAAATACTAATCGAGAATTTCGGCAAGAATTGAGCGACTTGATCACGCCACGCTGATGACGTAAGTAATAGTGTAATTAATGATGTCATTATTAATTTATGGTGATGTTTTCAACAACGAAGTAAGCCTCTGTTGTTGCCGTTACAAATTAGTATTGGGACAACAAAACGAGTTAGAAGTACTTAAGTAATTACTTCAAGTTATCATTCAGGGAATTTAATTAAAAAAAAAAAAAAAACACACACGCACACACATAATCACCAGGCTCCAGTCTTTGTGAGACCCGTGACCGATCATGTTTCGTCCCCTGATCCACTTTTTTGGTGCGGCCATCGTCTTCTACGCCATTCTAACTAACGATACCTTTACTTGGTTCGGTGTTTTTCATAACCTTCGAATTCTGACTCTTTGGAATTTATGGATTTTGTTCTTTTTCTTCCTTGCAAGTATCTTCTACGACTTAGTTCTCTCAGTGAAGAAGTCTACCCACAGGTTCTTCCGTGAGACTCTTTCTGACTGTTTCAACGCCATTGTTTTTCCATTGTCGTTATTTGTCCAAATTGTCTTTCTCGGCGTCTTCCTGCTCGACGGCGATGTCCCATTTGGCTGGTTCACTGATCTGCACAACCAACTGAGCCACACGCTACCAGCCCTGCTGGTCATCCTGGAGAGGTGTTTGACCTATCACCCATATCTAAACGTTCGCTGTCATATGATCAGCTTGGTACTGCTGACTTTCCTTTACCAGTTGACGGTAATGCTTTTGAGGACTGCACGGGGTTCATGGATTTATCTATTTCTCGACTCATTCAAGCTAAATTCTCGCATGATGTTCTTTCTGGCCATGCTACCGATCTTGTTTATAATTTATTTCATCGGTTCGCAATTTAATCACAGACTTTGGAGAACAGCGAAACGTAGAAGGACTAGTAATGAAAGCAGATAGATAAGAAAAAGAAAGCGAAGAAGAGGAATAAAAATGTAAATAGTAGTAATAATTAAAATAAATTACTGGTTCCTACACGAGGGACGTTTCTCTAAGTCAAATAAAAAGAGGTTCCAAAATTTATATGTGGGTCGTGGTAAAATACAAAAAGCTATAAGAAGCAACGGGAGGTAACAGAAAACAACGAGAAGCAACGAGAAGATAAAGATTTATTAAAAACATTATACATGACAATAACGGTAAGAAGACAAAATATATTAAGAGACCGGAAGTGGCAGGAAAACGCTTGCTCTCTTCCTAACAAGGAATTCAATCCCAGCGAAAAAAAACAAAACAATTAAAATTAATCCAATGGCTACGTTTATCGCATTGTATAAGATCATCTTCTGAACTTACGAATTTTACAAGCAGATTAAAATTGAGACATTTACCACTGGTAGAATAATTGGAGAAACAGCACAGCGAATGTAGAGAAAGACGCAAGAATTGTAAAGTTTTAATTAATTTGTAGAATATTATATATATATATATATATATATATATATATATATTTAATTAGAGAACAGACAACCATAAGGGTTCATTGATTATAGTTTATTTCCCCAGGAAGGTGTTTTTTACTTGGTTCTTTGGATAATATTTCCAAGCATAAAAAAGAAATGTGATCCCAGGTAATCAGAAGAAAAAACACCTTCCTAGGGAAATAAAATATAATCAATGGGCCCTTAAGATTGTCTGCTTTCTAATTAAATTAATATTTACCCTTGTTTGACATTAAGCTCCCTGGATTACATCCTCCTTTGGATTACCCATACGGATTACCAAACTTTTCATTGCCTAACTACATATATATATATTATACTATTTACATTGTTCGGACTATCATTCTCATCTTTGTTGCCATATCTATCACAACATTTCAGCCGTTGTACGCTCCGGCATTCTTCAGGTGGTCGTGTAACGATAGGGGTTACCATTATTGTTTATTTCCGACAGGATCACCAAATATGTAGCGGTTGTATTACTATTGTTGTTGTGAACGTCGAACGATGAACGTCGCGGTCATCATTATTGTAGTGATTGAGTTACCAATATGTAACTTTGGCTAGGGAAGGTGAGATTAAGGACAATGCGTGGACGAAATGTAATTTATATTTGACGTAAATAGCACATACAATAAAATACAAAACTTAACGGAATGATTTAAAAACATAATTAAATTTATTAATGTTTGATGTACATGCATGCGAACTGAAAATGTAGGACAGAGTCGTGTCCCTTTGATTAGTTATTAGTTGTACCGGAGTTCATATTAAGAAGAAGTAATATTAAACTTGTAATTTAGAAGAATAAAGTTTGGAATTGTGAGTTGTAAAGTTGGTAAAAGTTCAGAAGTGATTTCAGAGTTTGTGAATGTTGGTAATTGTCTTTAACGTCTCACCGCAATGGCTAAGACGGGAGTTCTTGGAGGTTACATCTTGGCACTTGGTAGCAAGGAATGAGACGTGCGAGAGAGATGAATGAAAAGAAAACTACTCGAGGGAGTTTACACGTGTTTTGTTTATATAATGGTCGTGAGGCTCCCAGCATATGAGCGGGGAAAACAGATTGGTCGCGTGTTGGCGGTTTGATTGGTCGGAACTGACCAATCAGCAAGCTAGATTGGAGGTGATTGACCAATGAATACTTGTTATATTTGTATGAAAGTAGGATGTTACTTACCAGATAGGAAGAGTGCATTTCCTAAAAAGAGGTAAGGCTGGTTTGTTGTGGAAGATCCCACAGTCGGAATGTCGAACTGAACCCTTTATTTCGCTCGCCGGGGTAGACTGTTATAGTTCCACGTTCCATGTCTAATGGATATCAATTATCAGTTATCTCAAGGACACATGGGACAGCGGATAAAGGCGTTAGTTACATCCAGTGACAGAATCCAAATAGTTTGAGTTCAATACCTGTTTAAGGCGGTGAAGAACTTGGAGAGGGGAATTAACAGGAGATAACTAATAACTGACATCCATTAGACATGGCACGTGGAACTAAAACAGTCTACCCCGGCGAGCGAAATAAAGGGTTCAGTTCGACATTCCAGCCTGAAGAATGCCGGAGCGTACAACGGCCGAAACGTTGTGATAAATATGGTAACAAAAATGAGGATGATAGTCCGAACAATGTAAATAGTGTACATAATACCTCATCTCAGAAATATAGACAGATAAGAAAATTATGTCTCCTTTGCTTTCCATGCTTCTTCTTGGTTCTCGTATCTTACCAACACCGACACAGATTCCTTAAATTCTTGTCTTCTTAAAGAAGTAGACATACATTGAGAATAACTGTTATAACTCGCTCCAAGCGGTTATAAGATTCTGTCTCGCTTAGGCTATTCGCCGTGGTGCCATTAGAAATTCTCCGCAACTAACTCCAAGGGATTTCTCTTAACGCACTTCGAGTTCTTTATTTAAGGCGTCTTGCCTAGTTCATTTGTGTTGCTGGGGGTGTCTTATTTGCTGACACAATGAGACAAATTGTATAATTCGTTTTCAGCCGTTTAATTTATAGCTAAACTATATTTAATCTTTTTTATGAAACAGGTAAATTTTGTTGGAAACTAAGGTGTGTGCTCAACAGTAATGTAATATCATTCTCTATGTCAGCGAATGTTGGACAATTTCCTCACAGATGGTAAAGAGACTTGAGGCAACGGAAACGTGGTTATATAGTTGAGTACTGGGAATATCCTGGATGGCACACACGAGCAAAGTGGAAGTTTTAAGAAAAAGCGGAACAAAAAAAAAAACACTTGCTTATGACTAGAAACAGACTGTTGAAATTTCTGAATTGCATAATGAGGAAAGAGGGTTTGGAGAATTTGAAATTGAAGTGACGTATTGAAAGCAACAGAAAAAAATGAAGCTTGTGTAAATGGATGACAGAACATAAATGAGGAGGGATACTAATTCAGACAACTACTGCTTAGTACTACAAGAAATAAGAGATTTAATTCAGCCATGATTACCTACGTCCTGAAGGGACATGACACATAAAAGAAGAAATGTTAAGGAGTTGTTTAATTTTTATCATATATCTTTTATTAATATTTGGACATTGTCCCATATAAGGATTATTTTCGATATATGGTCGTAGGTCATCTAAACGAGAAAAACTTCTCTGTTTAAAAAAAATAAGAATTTGAACCCAGCACTGATTCTGAAAATAAAAGATGGAAATCAGAGCAACTGTCTTAGACCGATGGTTCATATCTTTTCAGCTTGGTTAGGAAGATTGTATTACGCCAGCTTTCATATGAGAAAACAGACCACAAAAGCAGGGAGCTATGGTTCCTATTTGAGCAATAGTTAATATTTACTGATCTTTAAATTTTAAGGCACAAAGACAAATAGAGCAAAAGATGTTGATTACATCAGTCGTCAAAACCAGTAAGCATGGTTCAAAATTCTAAAAATCAACATTACTATTAAGTGTCATTTGAAGTAGGACACTTCGCCTCGTAAAGAGGCACGGTGGAGTAAGGAATAGCCGCTCAGATTGAGGAATCGGAGAGCCGAGTTCGAATTCCAGTCGGATCCATTACATTCACTTACGTGCTGATGCCATTGGGAAAGGTATGAACCCTCTAAGGTTATGGGTAAATAGCAGGACAGACCGGGTTTTATAGCCTTGGATGGCAACCTAGAAAGAACTCGCAACCTACTGCGGGAAAAAAAATCTGCCTTGTCAGTCATATATCGAAAGACACATGATCGCCTAAGCGTGTATCATGCAACGCACATAACTGACTGACTAGTAAAGCACAAAATAATATAGAAATTTGGAAGATTATGTCGCGCCAGTTTTCATTGTAGGGAAAGCCTGTCTAGTTATTTTGTTTAGTCAGTCAGCCTACCGGAAATGATAGTTTAATTTGGTTGATTTTATATGTCAAGCCTTATCGATTTTTCTAATATCTAATTATGTACGGGCACCCAGTGAGGATTGAACTGACTACACAGTAATATTAGTTAAGCAGTTGAGCTTCTCTAACGATTACCCTAAGTCTATTGAGCGATGAACAAGCTTTACTATTTATTGACTATTATACCAAAGGAGGGGAAAGATTATATTGCGTCAATTTTCAAGATGTGGTTTTTTGGTCGTTTTTATTTAGCAGCATATCAACACCTCTATGGGTTATTTTATGCCGAAATATAAATATTTTGAAAACAATTTTATGGCTTCAACTAAATATACAGGGTGTCCATAAAGATCGTGGGCACTTTAAAAAAATTATAACTTTATTTGTATTTGCGATACAAAAAGGATTAGAAAGAAGTAAGTCTATATTTTTTAAGGTTTTATTGAAATTTTATTTAAGTTTCCACATGTCCTCCATCATAAGCAATAGAAATGGTATTACAATGGAAAAAAAGAAAATATTTTTTTATTTATGTAAAAATTGTTGCAAATTTTGTGGTAAAGAATTATTCAATAACTATAATCAAAACTAGGTACATTAAACATTATAACATGTTTTACAGATTATTCCTATCGCAAATACAAATAAAGTTATAATTTTTTTAAAGTGCACACGAACTTTATGGACACCCTGTATTTGTATTATTTGTTGTATTTAAAATACAATTGTGGCACAAGGCCAAAATGGGGAGGGGTTGAGGCTGGTCATCACTATCTTATACCTCGCTAATCTAATTCACGACCAATTCACACATTACAATTTCCCCATTCACCAAAAGAACTCGTCCGTCACCAATCAATCCTCCATACACCATAATACCGCATCCTCTTAAGGGGAACCTACAAAACGTGCCCCATGCCATAAAAATCAGATGATTATAAAATATATACTTAAAAATTTATGGATGAATAGAATAAGAGGGGAGGGAATGAAACCCCAAAACAAACTAAGTATAAACACAAAGTAAAC